TTACGTGGCTTGCCTCTTGATATCTCATGGAGTCTACGGATACATTGATTTAGTCGAAACCTCTAAAAGCCAATGTATAACGCAAACACACAAGAAACATTGATATTCTCAGATGTAACACAACTAATGGTGTGATGGATATGGAGATCAATGAGAAGGGAAGATGTACACATCAACCGATTATGGAACTTTATATTATCTATACAGACCTTTGTCTTTAGCATAAAAAAGTTTACAATATATCTAAAGAAATGATATCAATGTTTTGCTAATTTTACCATGGTAGATGGGACCTTACAATGTTTCGTCTAGTAGACATCATAACGGGTACGAAAATGATGATTGATTGAACGATAATACAATCCATAATGTGTGTTAATTATTCCCAATTTGTCATAGGATTGTGGATACAAGAAACATTTTACGACATAGAATCTAGTTGGTTTTATTGACCCTATTGTATCTTCTCTGTTGATAAATATATGAATGCACGCTGATTGTAATATAGGGATGATAGCGACGACGTTGAAATGATTTTGTAGTTTTGACATCACTCAACAGCCAATGAGAAACGAAGCAATCAACGTGTAAGAAGGTAGTGTTCTTATACAGTTCATCAGTTTCTACAGCCCTATTACCGGAAAAATGACACTGCGGAGTCTGTTTCAGTAGAATATATTCGACTGATCCTTTAGATTAAAGAGTGAATTAATTACCTCTTTCTACTCATTGGATCCCAGCTATGCGAATCAGTTCATTGGTACAATAACACTATTTCTGAGGAGGGTCAACTGCACTAACCCCGATGTCTTATAATCAAGCCCCATTGAATAAACTACATAGTCGATTGAGAATAATAACAATAATAATGTGATTGTAGCTCGCACATTAGTAATACTTTTATATAGTTCATCAAATGTCTATATCATCTAATCAACACTGATCTGTCTAATAATGGTACATGAAAACTTCAATAAGCCCCAGAGGGGCTCCAGACGGAGTTCAGACAAATGTAGGCCTTTATTTATTGTATCGAAATTAAACGTTGATATAACTAAACATCAATTGATACAGTTGACCTTATTCGCAATTAGCATTGTAATCAACAACAAAAAAGACTGAGACTTAAGCCTACTAATTAGCACTTAATACAACCAATATTCCAACTAATTGCCAAAAATGGTTATTCTTGTAACACTTAGCTGTTTCAGGTTTGATATTAAAAATAAATATCCACATATTACGAATATGTATATAGAATTTGTTATTATCCGTCTCTACAAATACGTCTAACATATGAAAACTAATAATAAATTTTAAAATGATTCAATACGTGATTCATAAATAACGTTTTGGTCTTACTGCTGAAAACATGAATGACTTCAGTAGAAAAGAAACTATTTTACATGAACATCGACGTCAAGGCTGACAGAGCCACATACTTCATAAAGAGAAGAATTTCTAATTCTTTAATAAGAACGTTCGTCGCAGAAACCTTGCGATCGTTGATCATCAATAATCCTAAGGATAAATTATCTCACTTGACCAAAAACAAGAGGAAACGGCTAAATAAGAAGTTCGAAAATCGAACACCTTGTGAACGCAGGTCACTCAATAAAGACGGACTCTCCGCTCAAAGTCAAACAAGTACACACACACACACACACACACCTCAGTTAACTTAAGACTATTAACTGCAGAATAGATGTGCAGAATACAGAAACATGAAATTGTCTCAAGCTAAACAATCTTCAGTAACTGCATCAGCCGATGTAGTCACCTTGAAAATTTATCAGTATGTGTGAGCCATATTGAAGCTTTTTTCAAATTTAAAGATTTACGTGGCTTGCCTCTTGATATCTCATGGAGTCTACGGTACATTGATTTAGTCGAAACCTCTAAAAGCCAATGTATAACGCAAACACACAAGAAACATTGATATTCTCAGATGTAACACAACTAATGGTGTGATGGATATGGAGATCAATGAGAAGGGAAGATGTACACATCAACCGATTATGGAACTTTATATTATCTATACAGACCTTTGTCTTTAGCATAAAAAAGTTTACAATATATCTAAAGAAATGATATCAATGTTTTGCTAATTTTACCATGGTAGATGGGACCTTACAATGTTTCGTCTAGTAGACATCATAACGGGTACGAAAATGATGATCGATTGAACGATAATACAATCCATAATGTGTGTTAATTATTCCCAATTTGTCATAGGATTGTGGATACAAGAAACATTTTACGACATAGAATCTAGTTGGTTTTATTGACCTTATTGTATCTTCTCTGTTGATAAATATATGAATGCACGCTGATTGTAATATAGGGATGATAGCGACGACGTTGAAATGATTTTGTAGTTTTGACATCACTCAACAGCCAATGAGAAACGAAGCAATCAACGTGTAAGAAGGTAGTGTTCTTATACAGTTCATCAGTTTCTACAGCCCTATTACCGGAAAAATGACACTGCGGAGTCTGTTTCAGTAGAATATATTCGACTGATCCTTTAGATTAAAGAGTGAATTAATTACCTCTTTCTACTCATTGGATCCCAGCTATGCGAATCAGTTCATTGGTACAATAACACTATTTCTGAGGAGGGTCAACTGCACTAACCCCGATGTCTTATAATCAAGCCCCATTGAATAAACTACATAGTCGATTGAGAATAATAACAATAATAATGTGATTGTAGCTCGCACATTAGTAATACTTTTATATAGTTCATCAAATGTCTATATCATCTAATCAACACTGATCTGTCTAATAATGGTACATGAAAACTTCAATAAGCCCCAGAGGGGCTCCAGACGGAGTTCAGACAAATGTAGGCCTTTATTTATTGTATCGAAATTAAACGTTGATATAACTAAACATCAATTGATACAGTTGACCTTATTCGCAATTAGCATTGTAATCAACAACAAAAAAGACTGAGACTTAAGCCTACTAATTAGCACTTAATACAACCAATATTCCAACTAATTGCCAAAAATGGTTATTCTTGTAACACTTAGCTGTTTCAGGTTTGATATTAAAAATAAATATCCACATATTACGAATATGTATATAGAATTTGTTATTATCCGTCTCTACAAATACGTCTAACATATGAAAACTAATAATAAATTTTAAAATGATTCAATACGTGATTCATAAATAACGTTTTGGTCTTACTGCTGAAAACATGAATGACTTCAGTAGAAAAGAAACTATTTTACATGAACATCGACGTCAAGGCTGACAGAGCCACATACTTCATAAAGAGAAGAATTTCTAATTCTTTAATAAGAACGTTCGTCGCAGAAACCTTGCGATCGTTGATCATCAATAATCCTAAGGATAAATTATCTCACTTGACCAAAAACAAGAGGAAACGGCTAAATAAGAAGTTCGAAAATCGAACACCTTGTGAACGCAGGTCACTCAATAAAGACGGACTCTCCGCTCAAAGTCAAACAAGTACACACACACACACACACACCTCAGTTAACTTAAGACTATTAACTGCAGAATAGATGTGCAGAATACAGAAACATGAAATTGTCTCAAGCTAAACAATCTTCAGTAACTGCATCAGCCGATGTAGTCACCTTGAAAATTTATCAGTATGTGTGAGCCATATTGAAGCTTTTTTCAAATTTAAAGATTTACGTGGCTTGCCTCTTGATATCTCATGGAGTCTACGGTACATTGATTTAGTCGAAACCTCTAAAAGCCAATGTATAACGCAAACACACAAGAAACATTGATATTCTCAGATGTAACACAACTAATGGTGTGATGGATATGGAGATCAATGAGAAGGGAAGATGTACACATCAACCGATTATGGAACTTTATATTATCTATACAGACCTTTGTCTTTAGCATAAAAAAGTTTACAATATATCTAAAGAAATGATATCAATGTTTTGCTAATTTTACCATGGTAGATGGGACCTTACAATGTTTCGTCTAGTAGACATCATAACGGGTACGAAAATGATGATCGATCGAACGATAATACAATCCATAATGTGTGTTAATTATTCCCAATTTGTCATAGGATTGTGGATACAAGAAACATTTTACGACATAGAATCTAGTTGGTTTTATTGACCTTATTGTATCTTCTCTGTTGATAAATATATGAATGCACGCTGATTGTAATATAGGGATGATAGCGACGACGTTGAAATGATTTTGTAGTTTTGACATCACTCAACAGCCAATGAGAAACGAAGCAATCAACGTGTAAGAAGGTAGTGTTCTTATACAGTTCATCAGTTTCTACAGCCCTATTACCGGAAAAATGACACTGCGGAGTCTGTTTCAGTAGAATATATTCGACTGATCCTTTAGATTAAAGAGTGAATTAATTACCTCTTTCTACTCATTGGATCCCAGCTATGCGAATCAGTTCATTGGTACAATAACACTATTTCTGAGGAGGGTCAACTGCACTAACCCCGATGTCTTATAATCAAGCCCCATTGAATAAACTACATAGTCGATTGAGAATAATAACAATAATAATGTGATTGTAGCTCGCACATTAGTAATACTTTTATATAGTTCATCAAATGTCTATATCATCTAATCAACACTGATCTGTCTAATAATGGTACATGAAAACTTCAATAAGCCCCAGAGGGGCTCCAGACGGAGTTCAGACAAATGTAGGCCTTTATTTATTGTATCGAAATTAAACGTTGATATAACTAAACATCAATTGATACAGTTGACCTTATTCGCAATTAGCATTGTAATCAACAACAAAAAAGACTGAGACTTAAGCCTACTAATTAGCACTTAATACAACCAATATTCCAACTAATTGCCAAAAATGGTTATTCTTGTAACATTTAGCTGTTTTCTAAAAATTACTTATCATTCGATTCGCCATAGACTAACTACAAATAGCTTTCTCGTTAGTTCTATCGTTCAATTTGATTAAACGATTTGATTCAGTCGTTCATCAGCCCTTGTTCATTCAACTGAATTACCATCGGTTCTTGTTGTGGTATGTTCATTGAATTATTAGACCATTGTACTCAAAATTTGTGTTGATACGTCGGTATTTCAACTTGCTAAATAAAAATACGATTAACTAGAAATAACTGATACTTAAATGATTCAAAAAGTATCATTAGTAGTTACCTAGGTCTAGATCGGTGTTTTTTAACCAATCAGTTAAACATTCCACCCAAAATTTCTCAAATAGTCACAGTTTACATATTTTGAACATTGATCGCTTAAACTATTATTGGCTGATATAGTGTTGTATTGTCCATATAAAATCAGCCATACCAAACGCATACAAATAAAATCACACCTAACTAGGCTACATAAGACAGGAAAAATAATATGACCAAACAGCATAAATAATACTGTGAAGTGTGAGATTCAGAATTTGTTCACGTTACTTTATAGACAGTGACTAAAATGTTGGCTGAAACTATTTCACTAGAAATTAATGACATTCACATCTTTAACATTTGTTATTGAATAGCTAGAATAGATTTTCCAATCCATTCAACTTACTGGGCATACACCTTTACCGAAATTGTGGTAACCTGCACAGAATTCATGTTCTTCCGTTAAATTAATGTAGGCTGAATACATTGACATGCATGTTTTTGATTGTAAAACTGGAAGTTCTACAGCTTGGATTTTTAGTGTTGGCGGTCCGTCGACAAAACTACATCCCCAACCAACAGCTACACATTTCTAGATAAGGAGAAAAAAATTTTTGAACCACATGGAACAGATGTGTTTGTAATTAGCGAACTCCAGAAAGTAAATTGAAAAGGATGTAATGTTATGTGGTCCGATCCTATCCACAATGCATACATCCCAACCGCTTACACGACCGGTTGTGCAAAGAAAGATGATTAAGAGTGCATATGAACCGTGAATACCCAACGTCAAATGCATATGTATAAATGTCAAACGTGTATATACAGTAGTGAACGGAACTACACGGGTATATACGGGTGGTGATCCCTGGTCAAATGAATAACACAATAATCTACACGCAGGTGAATTTCTCAGATGTCATTGCGGCAAGATTTGATCTATCAGGGATTGTCGGTGGTTTCAGAGGATTTTCACCAAAAGCACTGAATAACTGTTGCGTCGTAGTTTTTGAATTTTGAGTTGTCAGCAAATACGACCACTGATATTAAGCATATAATGAATGAAATAACAATCTACCTATAGTGGATCATAAATTAATTTGCCAAAATTAAAGATGTGAATCAGTGAATTTCAAGGCAGTGGCTTAATTGTAATGTATGTTCATTACTAGACGTGAGAGCTTTAAGCAAGATCCCATGTGTGATATATAATGCATATCGTTAATGATTATCAGAATAAGGTTAACCAATTCGTAGTATATATGGTATATAGCCAACAATATAACTCAAAGCGCACACTTTTTCAATATAGAACTTGTCAGATGGTTGTACCAGAATCGTAGTAAAGATGTTCACAATGAAATTCAAGCGCTTTCTTGACAGATGGTAAGTGAGTTATCCAGTGTACTCCCTAATCCAGACAGCTGCTAACTTATATGACGAAATGATGGTTCAGTGATTACTGATTTTCAAAAGTTTTCCAACAACATATATTACTCACACATATTATTAATGTTTTCACAGGATAATACGGATTTTGAAAGTAATCTAGACGTTTTACACTACTGGTACTCGTGAAACATTATGCTTAATATACAAGGTGATTCGATTGATAATTCGCAGTAGATGTAAATATTGAAATTCTACAAACAACAATCGTGGATGCGCACTGCTGTCCCACGTTAGGACGAAACAGCCGTTCAGTGCTTCCAGGTTTTCCATGGTGGTCTGGCTTCCATTGACTCATGAACTTAACTATTAAATTACTATAACATCCATGAAACCCCTTTCTGATAACAATACATATTTTTAAGTTCTAAAATTAACTGATTTTCCGTATAAACGGTAAACAGCTCAGTTTTGAAATTTGACCAGATGTTAGTTAGCCTCAGATCTAGGTTTCAGACTAATTGGCATTTAATATCAAAGTGTATCTGCAATTCTAAGGAAACTGTTAATGCAAGTACATTTCGAACTCACATCACTCAATATATCAATTAAAGATGATTTCGTGAAGTTATTCAAGTCGTGAGTTGGCTCCTGTATATAATATCATGTTCATGAAAACTAACGAACACGAAACTGGAGTTCAAGCGTTGCTGTTAATCTCATCTAACTGCCTAACTTCCTAACAGTACAGGTGATGTCAATTCTTTATACTGGTGGTGACATTTTAGTTTTAGTTACAAAATTTGATCAACACTCAGGATTAGAAAAACACGATATCGCTTAAAAATCTTAACAATACATCTTGTATTCGAATAAGAAGTTGTCTTTCACACTTCCACCCAAGGATTGACATGCATTTTGTAGAATCATCTCAATTAATTTTCCAGGAAACATAAATTACACCAAGAAACCATAGCCTCCATCTAATAGAAATTTGTTTTCTCTTTCGTTCTCATGATTCATTTCGATATATTCCACAGTTAGTCAGATTTAGACCTTAGATTTAATTGTCTTAAAACATATTTATGTCCATTATCAATCGCTTAAATCAAAAACCATTGATGAAATCTTCACTGTTTATAATCCTTATATTGATAGACCAATATAGATTGCTCACTCATTATCAGTGGTTCTTCGTATAATATCAACCTGCAAGGTCAATAAACAGCTCATATTTCTTTTATCACACTTCTGATAAATAATTCCTCTGAAAAGTAATTTCCTTCACGAAATGAGGTTATCTAGAGTACCACTCATAGATAATAAGCAATATATCCCTATTCCACATAACAGTCCACATAAATGACATCATAGAAAGCTGAATACTGAACCTTCATTCTACTCTGATGAAAATCACTTCAATAATAACTATTAGAAAAAAGATGTTTATCAAATAAAGAAGAAAAGTCACTGTACTATTTAATATCGAGTCAAAAGTATCAATAGACTGATCATAAACAGTTAGTATGCATCACATTCATGTGTTACGTTTCAATTACCTGATTAGGTTTAGGCCATTCCTCGTCAATTTTTTTATCCGGCAATTCTATTAAATCTAAATGATTGATTTTCCACAAAATTGGAGTTTCTTTGAGTTTAAATAAAGCAATATCATACTCCAAATTTCCTATGCATACAAGAAAGCATAGTGATGTTAAAAGTATGGAATTACATAGTAATTTCAAAATAAAATCGTTATTCACAACTTTATTACTTAAATTTAAACAAAGCAGTTTGTAAAGTCGATGAAAAATAATAGGATTCCCAAAGTTACTTAATAAGATTGGTTGATGGCAACTGGAGAACCAATGGAAGGTTGTTTAATTTTAGTTAAGAAATTCTCAGACGAGATCACCAGCACCTCAACACAATAAAATGTAGGACCTTCAGCTCAATAGTCATTCATGGTACCCATGTGAATTACTGTCTCATTCATGATGCAGTTGACTTCAGCAAGCACGCTTTCTTACTAAATGTTCTGGAAGTTTCATGTTCTAGTAAGTGTTTATTAGTAGGTTTGTGTTGTTGCAGGTCCCTTTATTGCAAAGAAACTCCTGGTCAGTTCTCTCTGATTTCCAATGTTTATTTATTTAGTGTCAATTCATGATGAAAACAGATTCAATTCTAATTAGCGCTATAATTGTTGAATTATTAACTGATAAATAGTTGAGAAATACTGAAAATGAATTGCACTTGACAAACACCTAATTTGAGAGAAACACTCAGAGCGAACAATCGCTATCTATAACTTCTACTTCATCAGGCTCTACAGTTAAGCATCCAAAATTTTCTTTATTGTGTTACAATAGACGAAATATTAAAGTTGAATAGAACCATGTTACAAATAGAATATGGTAAATTTCATATCAGTTGAGTCTTAAATATTACTTAAATTACCAACAAAGCAAAAGAAGGGTTATACATAAAAATTAAGGAATACTTGTGGTGTCAGTTACTACGTTAAGCCCATATAACTTATTCACGTTTTGACCTTGTTAATGATTCACTTATCAACCCTGACTGTTTTCACATGGCGTATGTGTGTGTACATCTTATTCTACTCATCACATGTCTATAGCTTATTTTTGTGTGACCAAACATTGATTAACGCTTGATTAAATCGAGTTGGTTCACATGCCTTTTCCACTTTGTGCCGTCTCGTTTCGCTCTCTCTTCTTCACGTACTTCTCTATGTCTCTCTGATTATTTGTTCTGATCAACGATTGTACGAAATATATGTATATTGAAAATCCGTTCTCGTATTTGACTTATTTAATTCCGTTATTCACTAACGTGATCTAAGTTGATAATTATATACGACGATTGGCGATATGTATATTACAATGATAATCATACGATCTAATTGGAGTCAGATTTAGGGCCATAAAATACTTGTATGCCTTGATTATGGTGATGAGTTCTAAATAATAAATTAAAATCGTATGTAAAATAAGTTGATACAACATAGGAATCGTAACGTCGTAGTTGTTCTGATAATAATAATAATAATAATAATAATAATAATAATAATAATAATAATAATAATAATAATAATAATAATAATAAGAAGAAGAAGAAGAAGAAGAAGAAGAAGAAGCAAAGATGGATGATGGTTAGCAGTGGAATCCAGAACGCGCGCTCCATCCTATTTGGGACTCGTCAGCTGGATGTATCTGCATCACAGAGCTGACGTTTACTCCGGAACCAGAACCCGGTATCGTTCGCTTTAAACGCCATCGTGTTATCAGCTTAGCTACTGAGTCCTGATGGCCACTAGCTTGTGCAGTGGGGTGAAGTTTTAATTCATTTTATATTGTTTGTTCGAATTTTCTTAATAATGTTTAAGATTTCGATTGATCAGTCTCTTATTGGCATATGTACATCCTGTGTGGATTGCCTCGATATTATGTTAATTCACATATGCCGATGAGAAGATTCAAACAAACAATACAAAATGAATAATAATAATAATAACATTAACAATAATTATTAATTAGAATATAATGTAAAATAAGATTAATGCATAATTAAGGATAGGGAAATCGTCTTGGAATGATATGCATATCATAATAAATTTGTGAAGAGATATATTTGGAATAAATAATGAAATGGATTTGGACTTCTAATTATCCCATCTATTCATTCAATATCCTGAATCCCAAACTTATTGATCAACAATCGTTTGAATAAAATTTTCATGAAAAATTCTTGTTATTCCAATTATTCGACCAGAAAGGTGTACAACTGTTATAAACGTAAATAATGTGTTCAAATTGTCAAATGTATACATATCAATACATAGACATAAAGTACCAATGAATTGCTTTACAAATTTTTTCCTAATTTCAGTCAAAATAAATCAGACCTGTTTTATATGATGATTATATGTTGTTTATCATGAATAATGTATAGTTACAGTATAAAAATTGTCATTGATTTGATGCAAAAAATTTGAAAATACGTTGTGATTTGTATAAATGTATAAATAAATAATCCACGGTATAGGACAGGTGTCAGTGAATTTGTAGCTTATCCATTTTAGATACACAATATGTATGCAGTACCAAGCATTTTCAGACACTTTTTATTCATTCGTTTGGTGGATGGATTCTGCGTTTAAAAGCATAATTACCATAGATTTTATTTTAAGCCATTACTTTCACTTTATTCTTTTGTTACATCTGGCATATTGGGATGCGCTATAGTGGCGTTTTCATAGAAGACATAAGTATATGGCATTAGGTTACTCCTTTAGAATACTCAGTAAAAATCATACTCTTATATGCAGCACTCACCCAGTAAATGAATGACAAAATGCTCGAAATTGTTAGACTTTAAACTTTTATTTAGGATGACTATCCTCAAAAATAAGCTACATATTAATAACAATCATTAATAATAAATATATTTTATTACATCCCATTAGGTAGAAAACTGCATTACTGATATTTCGTGATTTAATGTAGGGCAATTCTTCAGGGTAAATAAAAACAAAGTGGCTTACATCAAAAATACAATTTTCTACTCACTGAAATGTAAGAAAAATATATTTATTACTAACTTCTTACCAAATGTTCACTTTATTTGAAGCTATCAAATCCGACGTTGGCGTTGTTACCTACAAACTCACTAATTATCACTATTATTAAATTCACTTGGTACTGTTTACTTGAATCTTCCCATTGATATGTAGGACTGCGATTGATCAATTTTTTAACGGTATATGTGCCTACTGTGCATGTTACCTCGATATTGCCGTAATTCATAAGCATTATAAGCAAAATGGATAGTGGCTAGCAGTGGAATCCAGGACGCGCGTTTCGTCCTATTTGCGACTAGTCGGCTGGATATACCTGCATCACAGAGTTGATATTCACTCTGGGACTCGAACCCAGTAACATTCGCTTCAAACTCCATTACGTTATCCACTTAGCTACTGAGTCCTGATAGCGGTACTGGGTTTGAGTACTAGAGTGGACATCAACTCTGAGATGCAGGTACATCCAGCCGACTAGTCGCAAATAGGACGAAACGTACGTTCTGGATTCCACTGCTAGCCACTATCCATCTCTGCTTATATCATTATTATTGTTATTAATATTGTCAACCAATCTTTGGAAAATAGTATGTGTTTGTCGTGGTAATAGAACTGTCGTTTACATCATAAACTGCTTTCAGGTGAACAACCATGGGGAACCAGAAAGTAGTAGACATATGTTAAATACTAATTTTAGACTCCTAGTTGTTATAAATCATTCATGGAAATTTCCCCATTCTGCAAGGATTGAATTCAGGACTTTCAAGCCTCATGAAATGCTAAACGTTTAAACAATGATCTGCTCTTGGAATTTCAGTCAATTTGTGGCAGTGTTCAGCCCTCATCCATTGCTATCGAGAGTATTGGTTTATCGCAGTAGGTTAAATTTTTCTGGGTTTAAAAGTGTATCACAATGTTCTCTTTCCCCCCTTACCTTTAGACCAATCAAAAACAGTTCTAATTGTTGCCTGTAGTATACGTCACCGTATATTTAAGCAGTCAAAATTTCTAGGTTTCTTTAATAGTTTTCAAAATGTTGGCTTAACAGATAGTTTAGAAACTTTCTCAGCACATTTCATTCAGTTGGGAGGCGGAGCATAGATGCAACATGACATAGACGGATATCTACAGTACTACTTCTTCTGTATACGAGATCAGAAGAAAATAGCTTATCAGTTTACAGAAATCATAACAATTGACGGCACCTAAAAATGTAATAAAGAAATGTCACTCTAACAGTTAGCGGCTTTGGATGTGTCTATGAAGGCAATGTCAGTAGCCATTGGATTCGTAAAGCGAGAGACATACGACCTTATAAGAATGTTTTTATCCTTTTATCATGATGGTGTTTTTGTCTGATATACAGCTTCATTTGTGACGACAGCCCCACTATTAACAATGCCTTCAGTGCAAACTTCCTGAGTGTCCACCATATTTTGTTCAGAGTTTACATTAAACGAAACGTTCTGCAGCGAGTAAGAAAACATATTTTATCATTATTTCTTCAGAATGTGTCAACCAGTACATTTCAACTGTTTCTGAAAGTGATGTACACGAAAGACGTTGAATGGTAACCGTGTTTAGGCCATGAATATTTTTAAATCGCATTTGTACGTCAACATAATTGAACGGGAAAATTAGTGTTGTGTGCCACTTATTTAAAATGCATAGAAAGAAAGAGGATTCTGGAGATTGGGCTAGATGTTCATTTATTGTTTCTTTACTGTTGCACATGAAGTTTCCATTGTGCTTAGTTAAATTTTTCAGATTTCAACCACCAGAATAACAGCAAACTCCCTTGTTGAAAAGTTCATGTGAGAAGATAAGCACGTAACAAATCAAATAAGCCGAATTCTAAGTGGCAGAAAAATTCAATATTTTGAAACCCATAGCATTCTAGTCGAGTTTTTCAGCATGTTTCGGTCAACAATCGTCTCACACCCGATTGTATGACATACAAATAAAAGAAACGGGCATAATGAGGACTGACAAATCAAATGTCAGGGGGAAATTCATTCCTGTATTATAAATTATGTCATTTCAGGATGAAAACACTAATGATTCATATAGATAAGTTAGCTATTAATGAAAAAAACGATTAGTTGTAATTTTATCATATTCTTTTCGATCAAAAATCATTTCACAACTAAGCTTTGTAACTCATTGACTAGAAAACAGCTCAAGGTCCTTCACCTACCTTAATTTCATCAATAATCGTATTTACTAGCACAAAACAGACCACCTACCAGGCTCATATTTTGGATGATGAAATATTTCTTCTACGTGGTAAAACGTTTGAAGTTTAACATGTCCAAAAATGGAATTGAAGACTCGATTGAAAGCGCCTTTTAAACGTTCTAAGATTCCAGGCTAAAATAAACAAATAGATCTTATATACAGCATGGGAGTAGGGGCAGAACATTGAAGAATCAGGCAAATACGCTGATCACACTTAAAAAGCTTAATTTTCAACCAGTTTCTGAGACTCCACAAATGTGAAATCCTTGAGTGTTGAACAAACCGAAATGCGGAATCCAACGGAAAGTTTGCTTCTAAACCTTAAATGTTCACTGTGGGGTAACTACACATGATGACAAACAACTACGTAGTATTTCTTTATTTATAATTATTATCTAGTTAAAATTCAGTTCGTGATATAAAGCTTAAGTTTAGAAACCTGATCTGTTATGAAGAAAAAACGACAAACATAAATGTCATAATATTAGAAACGGAAATAATCAAGAAAACTTGTTTAAAGTAATAACAATAATTATTTATTAAAGAGGAAGAGTGTATTGGTAAAATTTCAGCGAAAGAATTTGAAGTAGATCCAACGTTTCGCCTGACAATCTGGTCCAAGCTTTTTCAAGGAAAATGTATAGCAATAACTGGTTAGTTTAAAATTACATAACACTAATCTTAAAAAATCAATGGTAATGAAATTAGAATGAAAAACAAGAAAAATCTAAAACATACTAATAAAGAGAATTAGGCCCAAGGAAGGATAAGAGGTTGGACGAATCGTTTTTGTACGTAAAGTTCGGTCTTGAGTTGATGGATTGCCAATGCCTCAGCATTGCATGAGATATCTATTCGACTTCCCTTCGATCCAATTCCTTTGACTGTGTAGATTACTTTAACAGAAGACTCATTTGGAGTGGTGTGTTCACAGTTGGCTAAATGCCTCTGTATTGAACTAGTAATTGTTTTGCATTCTACTTTTAAAAGCCATGCCGGGTTTATGTACTAAGATGCTTTTGGAAAGTGATCGCTTCACGCAGCCAATGTAACCTACCCCACATGAACAAGTAGATTTATAGATGCACATTGATGTGACCCAAAGAAGAAGTTTATCGTTAACAGATATGTGAATGGCAGGTCGGCTTTAGAAAACAATTCGAAGTTAAGCTGAGGACATATTAACTCTATCTACTCATTGGATCGTAAACGTTGAATTACTGTTCCGTACGGATACCAGTCACATCTAAGGTTTCGTCCTGACCCTACTGTAGTCATTGCTAATCAATCTTTGAATTTTGATTCACTCGCCCAACACAAATCATATGTTCAAGGCACTGTTTATCAGTGCCTGTGAACTACTTTTCTACGTGAGATAACTCAGTCAATACTGATATAAATGATTTTTCACCTTGTTATCAACAACTGTACGGATACCAGCTACATCTAACTTTTCGTTCAATCTGTGAGTTTTGATTCACTCGCGCAACACAAAGCATACGTCCAAGCCATCAGGACAATAACTTTATGTCAGCTAGGCAAACTACAGGGCATTTCGGGACCGAAAATCCGTCTTTGGAAACTCAACTAACAACGTGCAATAGAAAAATGAAAACAAAATCAGAAATTGGTGGCCCTAAACAGGGCCGTGGAAGCGTTCTCTACACAGAAAGTCCCGAATCAAATTATTTAGAACCACTGTACTTTGTCACTGCCTTCGTGCCTTCAGATACAGCGTGTTTTGCCAATTCACCTGGCAACAACAGTCGAACTGCTGTCTGCACTTCTCGGCTCGAAATTGTCGACTTCTTGTTGTAGTGAGAGAGTCGGCTGGCTTCTGCGGCAATGCGTTCAAAGATATCGTTCACAAACGAGTTCATGATCGACATTGCTTTCGACGAGATACCAGTGTCAGGATGAACTTGACGAAGAACTTTGTAGAAGGATTATAAACAGTGAAGATTTCATCAATGGTTTTTGATTTAAGCGATTGATAATGGACATAAATATGTTTTATGACAATTAAATCTAAGGTCTAAATCTGACTAACTGTGGAATATATCGAAATGAATCATGAGAACGAAAGAGAAAACAAATTTCTATTAGATGGAGGCTATGGTTTCTTGGTGTAATTTATGTTTCCTGGAAAATTAATTGAGATGATTCTACAAAATGCATGTCAATCCTTGGGTGGAAGTGTGAAAGACAACTTCTTATTCGAATACAAGATGTACTGTTAAGATTTTTAAGCGATATCGTGTTTTTCTAATCCTGAGTGTTGATCAAATTTTGTAACTAAAACTAAAATGTCACCACCAGTATAAAGAATTGACATCACCTGTACTGTTAGGAAGTTAGGCAGTTAGATGAGATTAACAGCAACGCTTGAACTCCAGTTTCGTGTTCGTTAGTTTTCATGAACATGATATTATATACAGGAGCCAACTCACGACTTGAATAACTTCACGAAATCATCTTTAATTGATATATTGAGTGATGTGAGTTCGAAATGTACTTGCATTAACAGTTTCCTTAGAATTGCAGATACACTTTGATATTAAATGCCAATTAGTCTGAAACCTAGATCTGAGGCTAACTAACATCTGGTCAAATTTCAAAACTGAGCTGTTTACCGTTTATACGGAAAATCAGTTAATTTTAGAACTTAAAAATATGTATTGTTATCAGAAAGGGGTTTCATGGATGTTATAGTAATTTAATAGTTAAGTTCATGAGTCAATGGAAGCCAGACCACCATGGAAAACCTGGAAGCACTGAACGGCTGTTTCGTCCTAACGTGGGACAGCAGTGCGCATCCACGATTGTTGTTTGTAGAATTTCAATATTTACATCTACTGCGAATTATCAATCGAATCACCTTGTATATTAAGCATAATGTTTCACGAGTACCAGTAGTGTAAAACGTCTAGATTACTTTCAAAATCCGTATTATCCTGTGAAAACATTAATAATATGTGTGAGTAATATATGTTGTTGGAAAACTTTTGAAAATCAGTAATCACTGAACCATCATTTCGTCATATAAGTTAGCAGCTGTCTGGATTAGGGAGTACACTGGATAACTCACTTACCATCTGTCAAGAAAGCGCTTGAATTTCATTGTGAACATCTTTACTACGATTCTGGTACAACCATCTGACAAGTTCTATATTGAAAAAGTGTGCGCTTTGAGTTATATTGTTGGCTATATACCATATATACTACGAATTGGTTAACCTTATTCTGATAATCATTAACGATATGCATTATATATCACACATGGGATCTTGCTTAAAGCTCTCACGTCTAGTAATGAACATACATTACAATTAAGCCACTGCCTTGAAATTCACTGATTCACATCTTTAATTTTGGCAAATTAATTTATGATCCACTATAGGTAGATTGTTATTTCATTCATTATATGCTTAATATCAGTGGTCGTATTTGCTGACAACTCAAAATTCAAAAACTACGACGCAACAGTTATTCAGTGCTTTTGGTGAAAATCCTCTGAAACCACCGACAATCCCTGATAGATCAAATCTTGCCGCAATGACATCTGAGAAATTCACCTGCGTGTAGATTATTGTGTTATTCATTTGACCAGGGATCACCACCCGTATATACCCGTGTAGTTCCGTTCACTACTGTATATACACGTTTGACATTTATACATATGCATTTGACGTTGGGTATTCACGGTTCATATGCACTCTTAATCATCTTTCTTTGCACAACCGGTCGTGTAAGCGGTTGGGATGTATGCATTGTGGATAGGATCGGACCACATAACATTACATCCTTTTCAATTTACTTTCTGGAGTTCGCTAATTACAAACACATCTGTTCCATGTGGTTCAAAAATTTTTTTCTCCTTATCTAGAAATGTGTAGCTGTTGGTTGGGGATGTAGTTTTGTCGACGGACCGCCAACACTAAAAATCCAAGCTGTAGAACTTCCAGTTTTACAATCAAAAACATGCATGTCAATGTATTCAGCCTACATTAATTTAACGGAAGAACATGAATTCTGTGCAGGTTACCACAATTTCGGTAAAGGTGTATGCCCAGTAAGTTGAATGGATTGGAAAATCTATTCTAGCTATTCAATAACAAATGTTAAAGATGTGAATGTCATTAATTTCTAGTGAAATAGTTTCAGCCAACATTTTAGTCACTGTCTATAAAGTAACGTGAACAAATTCTGAATCTCACACTTCACAGTATTATTTATGCTGTTTGGTCATATTATTTTTCCTGTCTTATGTAGCCTAGTTAGGTGTGATTTTATTTGTATGCGTTTGGTATGGCTGATTTTATATGGACAATACAACACTATATCAGCCAATAATAGTTTAAGCGATCAATGTTCAAAATATGTAAACTGTGACTATTTGAGAAATTTTGGGTGGAATGTTTAACTGATTGGTTAAAAAACACCGATCTAGACCTAGGTAACTACTAATGATACTTTTTGAATCATTTAAGTATCAGTTATTTCTAGTTAATCGTATTTTTATTTAGCAAGTTGAAATACCGACGTATCAACACAAATTTTGAGTACAATGGTCTAATAATTCAATGAACATACCACAACTAGAACCGATGGTAATTCAGTTGAATGAACAAGGGCTGATGAACGACTGAATCAAATCGTTTAATCAAATTGAACGATAGAACTAACGAGAAAGCTATTTGTAGTTAGTCTATGGCGAATCGAATGATAAGTAATTTTTAGAAAACAACAATACTATAAAACCAAAGATGGATGATGGTTAGCAGTGGAATCCAGAACGCGCGCTCCATCCTATTTGGGACTCGTCAGCTGGATGTATCTGCATCACAGAGCTGACGTTTACTCCGGAACCAGAACCCGGTATCGTTCGCTTTAAACGCCATCGTGTTATCAGCTTAGCTACTGAGTCCTGATGGCCACTAGCTTGTGCAGTGGGGTGAAGTTTTAATTCATTTTATATTGTTTGTTCGAATTTTCTTAATAATGTTTAAGATTTCGATTGATCAGTCTCTTATTGGCATATGTACATCCTGTGTGGATTGCCTCGATATTATGTTAATTCACATATGCCGATGAGAAGATTCAAACAAACAATACAAAATGAATTAATTCTGTAAAAAGTTAAAAATACATAAAGTGTTTTCACTAAGCAGGCTTATATTATCTGCGTATTCTAAGTCAATAAGTAGACTTCCTGGTTGGAGATCAACCCCTGAAAATTCAGTCGACGTGAACGTTATTTCTAGCAGTAGGTCTGTGATGAAACTAAACAGGAATGAAATAAGTAGACAGTCTTTCCGGATACTACTTGAGGTTACTCTGAATCGACTTGTAGTGTTCGAGTACAGAGCCTTCACAGGGTTCATGTATTTCTGAGGTACGCCTTTCAATGCCACAGAACCTATCGCTCTAAAGAGTCAAATGCTGCTTTTAAGTCAAGAGAAACTATAATTCTCCGACGCCGATAAGCATGCCTATGTTCCAAAATCTGACGAGTGGTCAATGCAGCCATGATCAGGTCTGAAGCCAGCCTGATTTCTTCGTGTTTGCAGTTCACGAATCTTTGTTAGGCATCCGATAATTATTGAGATTAGTATTTTAGACACTACATTAGTTTAATTAATCCCTCTATGATCATTCTAGGATGATTTTGATCTTTTCTTATATATTGGGACAACCAACGATTGAGACAAGTTAGGTGGGGTTACGTTCAACTACCAGATTCTAGCTGAAATACTAATCAACCTAATCGCTAAAACTAGACAATCATACTTAAAGACCTCTAAAGCCGATCCATCTGCTCTTCCTCGTTTCAGATTAGATAAGGCTTTTTGAACTTTACTTAGATGCGGGGGGCCTACTTTAATGTTCCATTTAGGTTGTTTGAGAGTGGTGGGTAGTTGTAGAGTAGCTGAAGGCCATCCGCCTATCATTCCAAATGTCTGATCTCAGATTGCCGTCTCTTTCCGAGATCGTCTCACTTACACTCGACTTGTTAAGTCCGGTTTCTTTTATTAGTTTGAAAAGCTGTCTGTTATTACCTACAGCTGCTGTCTTTTCTATCTCTTTTTCTTTTGTTGTCGACCACTGCTTACGGTTGTTCCGTAGACATTTGCTTAACCTAGATCTGGCTTGTTTTCGCTCTTTATCATGTTCAGAGCCCGATGAGATATGTTTACGAGAATCCATTAGTGCAATAGACCTTGAAGAAATCCATTGATTTTTCGTGACCCTTTAGTTCAAATCACTAATAGATGACACTGTTATTTCTACAGCTGTTCATATATTTTTCCAAACAACATCTGGGTCAGCTTCGTTTTCTGAACTGCATAAGTGTGACCTCAGTTGTTCCTGGAATCTGCTTTTGGCTTTCTCGTCAGTGAGTTTAACTCTATCGGGTCTTCTTAATGTGCTTTTTCTGCGTCCAGTGAGGTACAATCAAATGCGTGCTCGTGCTATAGCATGATCAGAGTCTAAACATGTACTCCAGAATGAGCGACAATCTTTTATCGACCCTCTCCAACGATGACTGATGGCAATATGGTCCATTTGAGTCCATCGTTGATTTGGTGCAGGGGGTCGCCATGTCAGACGGTGTCTCTCCTTATGCTTAAAATTTGTGTTTGCTAAAAATAAACGGTTGTCTGAGCACAGTTGCAGCAGACGATCACCATTATCTGTTCGCTGTGCCGGAATACTAAAATACCCACCTAAATGTCTTTCTGTTTCGTTTAAGCTACCTACCTGGGCATTAAAGTCACCTGCTACGAGTAGTATGTCTGAACGGTTAGCTGTCTGAAGAAGGTCAGAGAGCTTTCTGTAAAATTCATCTTTCACTTGATCCGAGTTGCAGTCAGTGGGAGCGTAGGCAGAAACGACGAAAAGGCAACGACGTGTGTCTCGATCTTTCCGGGTTCTTGCGGAGCCGTTTAGCCGAGCAGCGCATAGACGACTGTTAACGGAGATCCACTCTAATAGCACTTGTTCCGCCCTCATGCTTGGTGCTATGCCTACACCTGCCAGTTCACGAGAACTAGCCATCGGGTCGCCAGATACACGGAGGGTGTATCTCGTCGGCTCTCCGTTTTGCCGAGGTGAAGTCAAGTGAATGACGACACTAGGATCCCGTATGCGTGTTTCGGAGACACAGCATACATCAATGGTACGAGATCCTAGGGTTTTAGCTAAGGATGCCTGCTGACCGATTTGACATAGTGTGCGTACGTTGAAGGCTCCAATGTGTAGTTTGGAGCGAGGTTTCAGTAGACCTGGGACAATGTTTTGCGCACTAGAATCGTTGGCTATGGTGACACTTGAGGAGGAAACCAAAAGAGAAAGTTTAGAGTTGAATGTCGAGGTAGGATGAATAATAGGTACTGGAGAGGGAGATTGATTATGAATTTGGTGATCTTGAATGCTCTTAGAGGTATGAGGGCGGTTATCACTTCCCGGTTGACCACACCGTGGAAGAGTTCTTTTAGAGGAGTTTGAAAAGGAAATAAGGTTAGAGGTGGTCTTAGTGACCTGAGAGCGTGACCACAGTGCCCAAGGGACAACTGCTCGAGGCTGGTTACACACAACGTGTTTGTGAGTAATATTCGTGTTAGCTCCGTACTTGTTGAGACCTTACCGCGGGAGACGGATATCCGTGTGATAAGGCGAGGTGTGCATTTTCGGGGTCGACCTTTTCCAACACCATCCTTCCTTGTGGGAAGGCAGCATTGCTGTTATGCTGATTGAATGAAGGAAACACCTTGCTACCGTCACTACCTCTGTACAATCAGCAGTACGACTTCGACCTTGGACCTTATCACTCTTCAACCGACTTGTCTTGCATGGTAGGACATTGAGGAACGATTGTTCCAGCCAGTATAGCTCGATTGGTTCATCATGATAGGCAAGCTCGACCATCACGTCAAGGTAGCAGCAACCAGGGAAAACTGGGCAGCTGTTTCATCTTCTTAGCATTGTGAATGAATGATTTCGTCAAGGATTTAACTCAGGACCTTCAGGTCTCGTGGTGACCACTTAACAGATACTCAACTCATAAAACATAAAAACAACAAAAGTATTCTATCAAGTAACAGTTCTACCACAATTTTTCCTGCAAAATTCACAATTTAAATTTATACGACAAAAACGCACTAATTTACTTATTCTTTGTTGTATTGTTGGTGAAAGATAATAGTAAGTTTTTGTTGTAGACATGTAAAAATGGGTCACTGCAGAGTATAGGGGCATGCCAATTCTAAATATGATTATGAAAGATTAAGATAAGGCCATTAGCCACCTGCGGTATAGTGAGTTTCATATAATTTGAGAAAATGTAATTATTAATTTCGAAATATTTCATATATATTGTTCTCACCCTCTCGCGGACAATAGAATTCTCATTCACTTACCTGATAATCTCATCACACTATATCGAGGTGAAGCGTGGCAACTTAAATATATGCATGTATCTGTTCCAGTCCCCAAATTATCTATGCAGAAAACACCTAGAAAATCAAACAGTCGAACCAACAGAATATAATTTCTTTACAGTTGTGGTCCTAAAGCTGATGCTTCACAGATACCAGCTAATAGGCTTCTTGAAAAATTACCAATCCTTTTAGATTGTTTCTCAAATGTACTTTAATGACTACCAACCACTGCTGATTGTCTTTGTCAGTGTTCATTTGTAAAGTTAGTTAGTATTTCGTTCGTTTCTTTTTGTACTTGAATTTAAATTATTACTCGGGACATTTACTGCTAATAGATTAATTTATAGACATGGAGATGAAGTACTAAACCGTAGACCAACTGCTTCATCAACTAACGCTACTCAGTTACGAAATTAAAGGTTTGGATTCAGTTGTAGGTTGATACTTTGGTTGGCTTCACTAGCATGATTTCTATAGACCGGGGTGACCAAATCAAGATATAATATCAGATTATAGAGTCATTCATTGTCAGTCTGAGGCATATTGGTAGATCCAGACTACTTGACTGGAGTTCGGGCAGTAACCACAACCAGTTGTTGGAGTTAGTCACAGTGATGTATATGAACTCACTTTTCATCTTCCTCTAGATGTTGAATACTAGTATTCCTTTGTGCATACCTTTTCAGTACGCTTTCTTGAACCATACTCTTAATGTTTAATCTTCCTTAGTATCATTGATACTATGATTATTTCGACTATTTTACTATTTATCCTGTCAATTTCAACTTGTCATGCTAATGTGGTACGTCAATTCAAGCTAATGCACATTTTTGTAAGCATCTAATTTGATTACGACCGATCTGTGTAGGTTCCATTTCAGTTGAAGCTTTATTTTATGAAAAAAACGTTCGTAAAGAAATGATGTCATATCAATCGTGGGTATTAGTTTGAAGGAAAGTCTTCACAAGCTCTACGAAAAGCTTTATCAAAGCTAAGGATTAGTTTTAGTTATACTAGGGTCAACTGAAGAAAATCATAGAACTCCAGTCCTATCGACAAATTTGTTTAAGTTTTTGAAAATCTAAATATACCAATTGACTTTTAAGGTGAAGGTTTTATAGAATAAGTTATGATTTCTGGGAAACTATATTGAAAGCGAGAAATTTCCCCAAAATTATTTCAATCCCTTTAAAGTAAAAAACATCGATCAAAACCTTTACGAGAAGAAGTCACTGCACGTTAAAGTCCATCGATGAAATTTTAACCAATTGTCTGAGTTGGGCAGAAACGTAGCATGAGAACTGTATTCATTAGGTGTAGCATTTTCATTTACAAAAATAAAACTAGAACATATTCTTTCATGAAGGCTATATGAATGTGTTATTTGTTATAATAGCCCACCGAAATTGATAAAGTTGTAACTGGAATGACTGAGGTGACCGGAGTGATAATTTGCTCATCATAACTAAATAGACTTCAGGAGATAGAAACACTAACTGAAATTTATAAATCTTTATTAAAAAACCAAGTTTGTGGTTTACACACAAAATATTCAACCAAATTACTACGACTGTCAACTAACCAATGATAATCATGTGTAGAACTCAAGATCATAAGACAAACCAATAATTATTCACTTCTGAATGCCATGACCACATTAATTAATCTTTAAAAAAACTATCTTTTAGGGTGACAGTGGTGGACCATTGGTCTGTGAAGATGATGGCGAATATAGATTAGCTGGTATTGTTTCAGCAACACACTCCAAACTGCCCGCTGATTATCCGGCAATATTCACACGCGTTTCTTACTTCGCCGAATGGATAAATGATGTAATCAGGGAGAACGGATATAAGAAAAAACCGAATGGTCTATTTTCATTTTTAAAACTGCATAACTGAAAATTATTATTATTTTTCATTCCTGTTATTACATGTTAATTTTCCTTTAAATAAAAGAAATTAGATATTAGTTGTTAAGCCATGAAAACATTGACTCTTGATCTAAGCTGTGTTAGGAAGTTGACAAGTTAAGTAGTAAAGGAGTTCAGATAATTGTGGTATCAGTGATAGTGTGAAAAACCACGTTAAGATTATCTATCTGTTGGAGACAACATCGATCGATGTCACGAGATTTATAGAGTAATGGTTAGTGATATCTACTGTTCAAATTAGTATGGAATTGGGACCCTAGAACTTATACCATGTAGTTCAGAGGATGATTTCAGGGAGTCTGGGATAGAATTTTTTGAACTCGAATCATTAGTACTGGTGATACGTGTGGAAGAATTTGAAGACAAATGAAGATCGATAGTGATAATACAAGAAATATTAGGTAGCACGGATGATGTTTAATTGTGAACAATGTAATATTGAGTGACAGGATATGACGGCGGTTTTCACTTTGCGGTTGCTCGCATAATGCATGGATAAATGCTTCTGAGGCACCTGAAAATGAAATTGGGTTAGTAGTAGTTTTGGTGGTCTGTGAGAGTGACTAAAGCAGCTAAATGGAAACTCCGGATCGGTTATACACGGGCTTTTAGCGAGTTGTTTTTAATGTGTTACCTCTGTACTTTGGAGGACGAAAATCAGTAAGATAAGGTAAGTTTAGCTATATCTAATCTCAATCTTTTCAAACTCACTTTATCTGTTGTAAAGACGCAAGATAGCTATCGGTGCTGTTTGTTGGTGAGAAGCACATAACTACTGTCACACCCCAGTACGACTTTTCCCTTGACCATGAGTTTGATGCTTATTGTCTAATCGCTCTTTAACTGACCTGCTCAGTATGTTGGGACAAATGTCACAGACGATATAATTCGATTGGTTCATCATGATATGCAAGATTGACTAATACTTTATGCTCACAGTTACGGTCGGGGTTGATACGATGACAAGTTGTGACAGATACACACCGTTTACGGAAAGAGAAAAATAAACGAGAGTACAAAACTCAACAAAATTTAATCTGTTTCTGGGTAGCAAAGAACCATTCAAGAAAAACACAACACACTATTACTATTAATGTTATTCGACATCAGCTGGATTCAGCATTCTTTTTTCTTCATTCGAATACAATCCACAATGTTTAAATACATTCATATATACACTAAATATTTGTTTAGCATTTGATACAAGATATGATGTAATCAATTGAGCACATTTTGATTCATCCTGTTTTAAATACCATAAGGAATTTTCACATGGTGCAACTGATCTTAAATAATGACCGATTTGTCTAACTTGTATACTTGAATATAAATTAGCCATAATCATATCAGTTTTAGCGTAGTATGATTGACTTTTGAGTTGAAAAACACCATTATGAGAGATAAATAAATTAGATAATCGAATCAATAAATTATTCAATCCATACAACCAAATTAAAGTAAACAATGTAAAGAATAAGTTAAGCATTAAATAGAATTTATACAATCCATATTGTGATGATGATTGCTTAAATGTTACACGTAAATAAAAAAAAAATGCAATGAATGTAATAAATAGTAGGCAAGTAAATGTTAAGTCAAATAACTGTCTATCAATTTTATGATAAAATGGAAATTTCATTACGTTTTTATGTGAATACAATTGGATCATACCAAGTCTATGATGATCATGATGAATATTATTCATAGATTGTTGCATTAATCCCCATAGTACATCGAATAAATTATCCATTGCAATCATATCCTCTTGTATGATAAGTATATAATCACTATGATTGTGTTCTTGTTTTTTAACTAAATCAACTGATTTCAGCATACAGGTTGACATATCTTTCACAAATTGATAATTAACAGATAAATTCCTATAAGTTGATAATTGATTAGAGCGTAATGGATGAATTGCATGCTGACCAACAAGTCGTATAATTTCATATACATTAGACAATTCATTTATTTTGGTTCCATTAAAACAGATCATTATATTGATATATTTAAATCGGTAACCGTACCTTGAAATATCTTTAAATATTAGTTTAATTAAGGTTGATAAAGACTGAGTTAAGTAATTCGGTTGATAATCATCAATTTGATGTTGAACACGATTCGACGTCATGATACTAATGACAATACCATGTTTATTACTTAAAATTGACAACGATGATTGTGGTGGTTGGTAAACAAACGGTATTTTTCCTTGATGGTACCAATCGTACATTAATGTGCGTAGATGAGCTAAACGTAATTCTTCACGATCTCGTACAGTAGATGCATGATAATTTATATTGGGAAATCGATAGTTGTTAATTATGGTTAGAAGAAAATATATGAAAATTGATAAAATGTTTATTTTTAGAAAAATATGTAAAAATGTATATGTTCGAAATAATCGTCTGATTTTAATTAATCGATTCATCAATCGGAACTAACTTTTATTTGTTCAATGTTATTTTATATTTATTGAGTTGTCATAGATATAGACATACATACATTTTGAAGCAAAATATGATGAGAAAATAAACTTTGAATAACAGACAACATTTATTTATAAGTGGGACTAAAAAAAATTATGACAAACAGTAAGTTGTTAGTGCAAGGGATTTATGGAGATTGTCGGATTTCATAGTTTACAATAAAGAATAATCTCAGTTAAATAACCACTAAAAACCAGAAATCACTAAACTACTGTTTTGTCTTAGTATGAAATTCTTCAGTAGTGAGCACCCACAACGTTCTCGGATTTTAACAGTTGTGCAACTATGTTTGGTTAGTGATTTGAACTTTAAAACTAAGCTAATTATTCATCAACACAGGACTACCAAGCAGGGATGATGTATCGGCACAAATCGTCGAATATACAAACATAGCGAAAAGAAGTTTACGAGACAAAAGGCAGAGGACAGGAGTTAGTATCAAATGAACCTTAAAAAAAGAGTAATGTACAATTCAAAAGGGAATCCATAAGGTTGTACGATGAAAAGTTCTTAATTTCGAATTCAGAGTAAAATAGAAAACGAATATGCTGAAACCTTCCGGTTCTGTTCTCCCGAATTTATATGGATTGCTTAAAATTCATGAACCTAATAATAATCCATTACGACCAAAATTATCTAAGCGTGGTTCACCTACACATAACTAGCAAAATAGTTGGTAAAATTGCTAAGCCCAATCCGTAATAGACTATGTAAGTTTTTCTTAAAATATACATTTGGACTAATTGGTCTTCTTGTGGACATTAATATTAAAGATAAGACTGCATTCCTTTAATGTAAACTCTTTTTACGGGTGTACCATTAACTAAGACTGTGAATTTCCTGTGATTATATTTCTAATAATTACCCCTTTTTTCCTATTCGGTCAACATCGTTGGAAGAATTGCTTTTGTTACGTACTGCAAATGTTCATCTCACATTTGAAGGCGAATATTTTCGACAAGTTGATGGTGGTGCTCTGGATAGCCCTTTAGGGCCGCTCTTAGCTGATGTATTTGTGTCATATGTTGAAAATATGACAAGTGAGTTCATCAGAGAGGTAACTCTATATAGAAGATACATGGATGATAAATTATTTATACGTGATAAAGATTTGGAAGTTCACCAGTTATTAGATAAACTCAATGGGGTACAGAACAATATTGTAATGACCTATGAAGCAGAAAATAATGACCAATTGCCCATTTTAGAAATACTTTTGAATCGAATGGAGGATGGTACTATGAGACGATCAGTTTATAGGAAACCAACTTCTGCGCGGTAATATTTAAATTTCCAGTTTCTGTCTATTGCAACACAAGCGAGGCTTGGTTAAGTGCCTCTTTAATATGATTTGAAGATTATGCACCAATGATATGGTTGAAGGAGATGAAAAGCTGCTGAATGGCACACTAATATCAAGTGGTTATTCACTAAAGTTTATAAATAGGTGCAAAAGTCAATCAAAGCTAAGACCTCTTATTCGATTCCGAAAAAAAAGTTGATATCTATCTACCATATAGAAGTGAATACAACAGTATAATTTTAAGACAGAGAATAAAAGTAACCATCAAGAAAACCTGATTGAAAAGAACAAGCTCATGATTTCATTTCACTCTCGTACACTAATTTCGGTTTGTTGTCGTTCTTTTATTATACACTCTATATTCTCTATCTCTACACAACCTCATTGTTATTGTGTGGCGCATATGTATTTGGTGACCCTTGTACCAATTTTTGTTTAAATAAATAAATGTCATGCGTACAGTAATAAAAGTAAGTTTATGAAGCAAAACCGTCGTTAAAATTCATAACGTATGCTGTTGTAAAGTTGACATTAAATAATAAATCCATTATGTTGGACACCACGAAAAAGTGGAATTGGTAACCTCAGCTATTACTTAATTTACGTATTTCTTACAGCCGATTTACCTATTAAATATATAGGGTATGTATGGAGTGATAAGGAATATTTATCGTCAACTGGATGCTTAAACAAAAAGATACGTCAATAATGTGAGGGATAAGCTTATTTAAAAATCAATTAGGATAAAACAAGCAGTAAACCAAAGGAAAATGTTGGCCTTGTATTTATTTATTTGTCGAAGAAGTAGTCTCTGTACTCTGCATTTGTATTTCTGAATTTTTACCAAAAAACGCCAAAAAGATGAAAGCGGTGGTCAATGAGAAATTTGTTGTGAATTGAGGCAACAAAGCCTCAGATTTCCACTCTTTTCACCAAGCGTAAAAAATAGTGAAACTTTGCTTAAATTCACACCAAGTCGTCTACTTATAGACTGAATATTTCAGACGTTCGCTAGTATTTCTTCAGGGAAACTGACTTACCTACCAATCGTCTGTACAAAACCAATTATTCTCATAAATTCTAGTTTGTAAAAATGTTTACAATATTAGGACACCAGTCACATGTCTACGTTGTAACCAGCAAGTATGATTATACTTAGCTGAAAAGAAATCGACGTTAGCGATTTATCCGGCGTTTATTAGACATAACTAGGGGTTGGTAATGTCTCCTATTTCAAACGAACAATAATTCACACAACTTTTACCGAATACGTAACATCTGATTTAATGCAGTACATCCAGGTGGGAATGTTGGTATATGCGTAACAAACAATTTATTCGGAAAGTTTGGCCTCATTATGAAACATTTCAACGACATCAACGTCCAATTCAGACATTTCTGGTGTTAGTAAGCACAATTCCTGCACATTTTAATGTGTCCAGAAACTTGGGTTCCACATTATGGCAACGACTAAGTGCACTTCGAAAGGACATAGACAGTTCAGGAATATACACCCGAAAAAGGTCCGGAATCCCATTGGCCTTGTTTACAGTTGTCACCATGTTTAGCTGTTGCTTCATTGAGAGATGAACAGGCAGAGACATTTCGGTAGTGGGACCACCTACAATTTGTTAAAAATAAACACTACTGTTTGTTCCACTGGGTGCACAATGTACGTAACTACAGGAGGCAGTGGCGGATTTTGGGATCGAGGGCAGCCCATTAAGTTTGACACTGTTGGCTGTAACCCGTCTCTTATCGCATTTATTACATTCAACATTGCTAGTCTAAAAGAAGCAATTAGCTGCAGTCAGGTTGGACAGAAGGGGTAACTGAAGTCTGTGATAGTACGAACAACTCGTCTGCGTGACGTAAGATTCTTAAAGAAGTGGTGTCTATTTGGCATACTAAAACAAAACCTAAACGTTGGTACTGTAAAGCCGACTGAAATTCATCATCATATTAATTATAATGTTTAATATGATATACATGATGTATTAGTGAATAATTTGTAATTTATTAAACTTTAATAAACATTTAAATGCGTGACGAATCAGTCTTTTAATTACAGCTATAGATCGATTTTCGTTAATAACTGTTGTTAAGTTTCTTTGGCACTACATTTACTGTGCGTAATTGACAGGAAAAAGTAGAATACATGAGTAGAAACTTTTAGATAGTTATAATCGCCAGGCTTTCCCGTGACATCTGTCGAAAAATGTGGAAAAGTATTGCGTCAAAACGAGAAATTCTGGATAATTTCACCGAAATTGAACAGACTTTTGCGATTTCATAAATATAGACGGCTTCCATCAAAGTGTAATGAAATTCTGGGAAATATTGGAGGAAAACGAAAAATTTACACAAAGTTGTGAAATGTTTTGGGGTTTTATTGATACATAGACCGATTTCCTCAAAGTGTGATAAGATTCTGGGGAAACTTAGGAGAAAGTTAGGGAGGAACCCGAAATTTTGGGTGCCATCTCTTCAAAATTTTCCATAGCGGTTTCCCCGAAATTTCCCTAAACGGGTCAAATTTTCCCCTAAATTGGGAAACTGGGTATTGTTAATAATTGCAACTTCGTTTTGAAAAGATTAAAATGTACACTGGTTGTTAACTGTCTTCCTGGAATACTAGGCAACACAGATCTCGGGGTTTTTCTGCAAACTTTGGGGAAGCCTCCCTAAAGTCTAGACTGCATTTTGCCTAAATCTCTCTGCTCATATTAATTTTGGATGTTTTAAAAAGTAAGCCAAGATTTCCTCTGGATTCAGTGACTTACTTCAGAATACACAGAGAGTACATGGGCATCTACAGTTGCTGACGAATTCATTACATCAATGTAGTCCCCTAGCTATTTCCATCTGTGAGCAATGACCTTGCGTGGAATGACGCGCGGTAAATAAAAAAAATACTTTTGATCTGCTAAAACACTGACATTTTTACGTGAACAAGAGAAACAAAAAGGTGAAAATGCGGAATATTTACGAGTTTTCAAAGTGAAAAAATTGTGGCTCACCATAACAACGAACGTGGGGAATGTTGACATAAAACTACAATGGTACAGAGGAATGATGTTGTTGAATACACGTATCACGTGAATATAACACATGTATAGAGGTTAGTTCCTGCATAACAGACATCTATTTGGAGTAAATACAACTACATTAATCTTCCAACAAATTATGAATAAAATGCTTCAATATATTCCTGGTACGGCGGCCTCTCTGGTTGATGTACCTATCATGTGTTATGACTAGGCAGACTTAGAGAAGAATATGGATATGGTCCTTAGATGCAATCCTTCTTGAAAATAGTTAACCATTATGATGTTTCATTTCCAGACCTGCATCGTCTGCGTCCCCACTAGACTGTTTACTTACATAGAATACCAAAGGGATTTGGTCGACAAAATGTGAAGAAGTATTCTCGAACCTTTTAATCACGCACTGTAATCCAGCCCTTCTTATTGTGTTTGCAGCAGACACGTCAAATTGTGGATTTGGAGCAGTGGTTTTACATAAATCTGAGAAACTGCTCACGCTGCACGATCACTGACAACGACAGAAAAGAAATGTAGTCAGATTGAAAAGAAAGCCCCCTCCATTAGCTTCGCTGTGGAGACGTTCCAAAAGATGCTATTTAGCAGACAGTTTACTCTGTTAACAGACCATAAACTTCTAATGGCAGTTTTTGGATTCTAGAAGAGTGTTCTTGGTAATATAACAAATCGTCTACAACGATGGGTAACTGCACTGCTAGAGTGCGATTCGAAGATAAATTATCGACCAACAGCGAATTTCGGACAGGCAGATGCCCTCTCAAAATTAATTGGCTACCATAGAAGCTGAGGCCGAAGTTCTCACAGAGTTGACAAACACAATTTCTGGACTTTCGATCACATTCTAAGCCATTAATGAGGCTGGTGAAATGGATAACACGTTAAAGATCCTTCCCATTTGTGCTCTCAACGAATAGCCTTCACCTCAACTCTATGAAGAGCCTCTACAATACTTTTGTCGGTGAGACCCCTTGACAACTGTAGATTCGTATATGTTTGGCCACTGGATTGTCATCACTAAAGTTCTTCAACATAAAGTCTTAAGACAATTCCATAGCGGACAACCAGAAATATGTAAAATAAAGCCACTGGCTCGGAGTTACACATACTGACCGTCAATAGACCGTGATATAGAACGAAAGCGCCGTGGCATCGGACCTGTCTAGGAGCCACAAATAATCGGACTAAAGCAAAACCCCAACTATGGCCAAAACTGGGCGGGCCTGGGCAAAGACTAAATGCTGATTTCGCAGGCCAAACACATGGTGGAAATTACTTGGTTGTCGTATGTATTTTCACAAAGTGGCCGGAAATATACGATATGTCGGACTCGATGTCAGAGAATACATTAAAAAGTTGCCAAGTTTGTCGGCTTGTTTCGGGACTTCAGAGATCTCAGTAACTGTAAAGGCAATCAGTTCATGTCCTCCGCTTTCAAGTGGTTCTGAAGTAAAAGTGGTATTACGTAATGGTATTACATTCCACTCAGTACTATCCCCAGTTGAATGTCCAAGAAGAAAGAATCTTGGATACAAGTAAAACGTCTCTGATCAAAGGAGGAGGAGAAGGCATTCCAGCCTAAGTGATCAGTAACTTCTTAATGTCCTAGAGAGTTACACCCTATTCTGTAGTGACAAAAGGAAGGTCTTCAACTGGGTGTATGTTCGGCAAGAAAATCCAGACAGTCTTCAACAGTGTTACCACTCAGGAAGACAAACAAATCTACAAACGAACCATAGCAACTAAAGAATGTGTTAAGATTTTTTCAGGATGACATGTGAACTCTAAAGCTTCATGATCAGTAACAATAGTGAATTTCTTTCTGGATGAAAATTTATGAAATATTTTGACGGCCCAAAACACAGGTAATACTTGCTGAGATTGTGAATAAGCTTGTCCAGCAACATTAAGTTTGAGTGAAACACAGAAAACCGGTCTACCTTCCTGCTCCAAAACTGAGCCAATACCCACAAATGATTCATCAGTAATAAGTACGGAATGCACACTAGAGGAGTAAGTTCGAAGAGCAGGACCGATTCGGAGAAAATGTAGTAGACTTCGTGAGCGTAACTCTTGTTTCCCACCCCATTTGAATGATTCGGATGTCGAAATAATGAATAAATAATTAGCGCGACAAGAACAATTAGGAATAAAACGGGATAGTGTTGACAAAAACTCACTAGTGGATGTAGTTCTGTAAAATGTATTCTTTATTTGGTATAAAACCATTTAAACCATTCCATACTGGACACGTAAAATGAACGCATCTTTTGGATTCACCGTAATAATATTCTCAATTAAACGATGCAAAAGAGCAATAAGTCTCTGATCATGTGCTGGCCAGTTTATCAGAACCGTGAATAACAAGATCGCTTTAATAAACCTGAATATCTTTAAGATCACTGACTACATTATTGATCACTCCGTGAAATATGACTGACGAACACCTGAAACTAAATGGGAGGAAGTTGTACTTGAACAGACCAAAAGCGATTCTGATTGTTGTCAAAATAGATGAAGATTTATAATAATAATAATAATTTATTCTCAAATAACAGTTTGTTACATGAGGCATGCCAGTTTACAGGCAAGATCAAATTGTTACAAATGATACAAATTCCAGCTGTAGTAAATTACTCAGCTGGGTCGATAATTTATAAGATATGAATGTAGAATGATTGTAGACAGTATCACAATTGGCGCGCTTCATGAAAGTTGCGTTGCGACGTGCAACTGAGGGTCGATGATAGATTCATGTGCAGTTGAGGGCTTCTAGAAATCGCAATCTTATATCCCTTTGGAGTATTTGAGGCTTTAAGGATGGTGAAGGACCAGGTCACCCGTTCCGTATCTCAAGGTGGCTGAAAAATGGTGCAAGAAAAAAACAAAACAAAAAAGGACGAGAAGCAGAGCAGACAATGTTCATGAAGAAATAGTTAAGATATGACTACTCAGTCTGATTCTCTTTTATTAAAGTATTCAGTAAGCAGGAGCATCCTAATAAGTTAAAGAAAATAAGTGTAAACAAGGTGTGAGTGGATATATAACTGACAAATAGAGGTGGTTCAGAAAGAAACTGAGAGTATGGGGATATGTGTAGTTATAAAATAAAGTGTTAAAAGCAGTGTTATGATACACAAATGGCTGTCTCCTTTTTTTATCGACGCTATTTGAGCCTCTTTTAGATTTTATAGGGTCTTGAGTGTGCTTTTTTTCTTTATCGAATTGTCTAGTTTGCTTGTAATAGGATTACTAGGTAGGAAGTTAAACCAATTTAACGTTCGAAACACGACTTAATGAAGTATTTAGCATGATAAATCAGCATCAATACTACTAGTTCGTGACATTCCACGAGATCATAAGGAGCCGTGATTTAACAAAATGTTCTGCCCTACAGACATGGGTGGATTGAAGTTATATCCCCGCCATCATGTTTGCTGGTCAGTAACGCCACCCTCCCTCCATTTGTGATGTTAAGCTCTCTTACGTTTGTGGTAAGTATACATACTGCTTTAATCAAAGCACATAGTTGGAATACACTGTTTCTAATAGTTCCATGTTACAAGCAAATCAGATAGTTAAAGCGTTTGTATTATGGGTTAGTTCCCAAATGCCCTGGTACGGCCGAGAGTGGGGAGATTCCGCTTTCCCTCTCGAAATGCTCTCACGTGGCCATGCGTATATAGCCTCTGCCAGGGAAGTCCTACTCACTGCATTCTCACGGCCAGGGTGTTGTTTACGAAAATGAGAGGACGAAAAGCGAATGTTCGGAGCTTTCACCGGATCCCAAATCAATGGTGCACATGGGCTCCAGTATCCTGAAGGAACAAATTGCGTATGAACCAATCGTTGGTCACCGGCTACCATGGGACTGCATCTCCTTACGATTCTCCACTGCCTTGTGGGTCAGACGTTCACGTCGAAGGCTCGGGGTGTGGTCCCCTAAGAAAACCATCTGCTTCGGTTTGGGAACCCGGGCAGTATCACGGCCCTCACACATATCAATTGAGGTTTGTGTGGCGCATATGTATTTGGTGCCCTCTTGTACCAATATTTATGTGTTAAAATAAAATAAATTATGGGTTAGATGTCCATTTAGTATATCACACTGCTATGAAGATAACTAATGGTAAATATAAAAAAACAGGTTAGGATATATGTGGTTTAAAGATAGTAGGACTAATAGCAAATCAAATGATATGTAATAGTATAAAATTGTAAAATTTTTAGGGTAAGAAAAATAAACCATTGAACAACTCACAAGACTTTATGATCAATTTTGAGCTTCGTATGATCAGTCATAGTAGATCAGCATCCATAAGATTAGTGAGTTATCTGTCTACTTGCAGTAGAAAAGAAAGGACATGACACTTAGGAAGAAAAGTGTATATTTAACCAGTAGAGGGATTTGGGAACTGAAAGTGAGGGTTAGGAGCATTAGGCTTTGATTAATGGACAATGAATAATAGGAAACGGCAAACCATATGACCTGTAATTTAGTTGTATTCATATTAGTAATAGTCGGGCTCGTTATATTCTTGTTCAGTTAAGATATTAGGCGGCCCATAATAAAGTGCTTCATTGGTGAACGGGAGTTCAAGGAAAGATTGAAGCTCTTCAGAGACTAGAAACATGGTTATTAGCCTTTCGAATCTGGTAAAACTCACAACGCACTTGTCTTTGATGTTTTACGGTGTGTAGTGTATATGCGTTGTTTCTTAGTCTATAAGCTGGGTCGTGAAACATAGTTGGACAGGAGGTTAGAAATGAGAGTCCATACATCGCTTTGTAGAGAAATATTAAATTATTCTTTAGCCTACGGTGCCATAAATGTTCTAAAAAGAGGT